TTCGTTAACATTAACTTGTTATATTTATATTTATATTTTTATTTGTATTGTAGCTTTATATATATTTCATATATGTTTTATTTGAATGTTTTTGTAAAAATGGTCATTCTCTTTTCCTTGCTTTATATTGTTATTCTTGAGGTTGCTTATGTTTTTGTTCTTGTTGAGCATGCAAAACAGCTGTCCTAGTATTGGCATGAACAGTCTCATGATTGATGTGCTATGTAAACAAAACAGTGGATTCAACATAGTCCATTTCAATGCGCGGAGTCTAAGTTCAGATAAAATGGATTATGTTCGCAACACATTTGAGCTTTCATCAATTGATGTCATCTGTGTTTCTGAAACATGGTTTGATGAGGATTTATGTTACTCGTCTACTAACATAAAAAACTACAAATTAATACGTAATGACAGGCCAGGAAGAAGAGGAGGTGGGGTTGCAATATTTTGCAAGGACATATTTTCTATGAAATTACTTTCAAAATCTGCTGATAGCGATATTGAATATTTAATTGTAGAAGTAAGCCATAAAAAATTCCAGACTGTTGTTTCTTGTGTTTATAATCCTCACCGAACTAATGTTGTCAAACCTTTTTTTGATGTAATTTCTTTATATGTTGTTAAGTACAATTCAGTTATAGTATGTGGTGATTTTAATGTTAATCTTCTTGTCAACGACTCTTATACAAATAATTTACTTGACAATCTATCCAGTTGCTCTCTCTCTGTGGTCAACCGATCTCTTCCTACGCGGTTTGCAGTGAATTGCACTCCTAGTCTTCTTGACTACTTCATAATTCTTGACTTAACTACTGTATTAAAATTTGACCAATTAACTTTTATATCTGACCATGATCTCATTTTCTGCTGTTTGGACATAAATATCGATCGTTGTTGCATAAATAAGACTATCTCTTTTAGAGATTACCGCTTTGTCAACACAAATTTACTTCTTTCGGAATTGTATTGTGTAGACTGGAGTGAATGCTGGATATATCCATCTACCGATGAAAAACTTGATTTCTTAATGGGAATTTTAAAGTCAGCCTTCGAGAGACATGTCCCCATTCGTACAATCACTAATAAGTCTATGTCCTGTCCATGGTTTACCTCAAAATCTCTGAAATCAATTAAGTTACGAAATAAACTTCATTCCATATGGAAAAAGAAACCCACGTTGGAAAATTGGAATGCCTTTAAATCGGCTCGAAACAGAGCGACGCTTGTTATCAGAAATGAAAAACGAGCTTATTTTAACAAGAAACTAAATTCTGGCCTCTCAACAAAGGTTCTATGGCGTAACATTAAACGACTTGGTGTTCATTGTAAGGAGAATGTCGAATGTTCCTTAGAAGCAAATGTGGTTAATGATGCTTTTCTTCTAAACTGTGTACCACACAGTGACACTATTAACTTTATGTCCAGGGATGATCTCTTGTTTAGGGATGACTGTTTTCTATTTTCAGCTGTTAGTGAATATGATGTTGCAATGAGTATATTTAAAATCTCATCCAATGCAATAGGGCATGATGGTTTACCAATTAAATTTATTAAAATTATACTACCTTGCATTCTTGGGACACTAACGCACATTATTAATCATTGTATTACCACGTCTTGTTTCCCAGAGCAATGGAAAATTGGCACTGTACTACCTGTCGCTAAAAAGAACCGTCCTTGTAGTCCGTCTGATTTTCGACCAATAAGCGTCCTCCCTGTATTGTCTAAAGTTTTTGAGATGCTTTTAGCTAAGCAAATAAACGAATTTGTAAGCAAGCATAACCTAATATCTCCGTTTCAATCAGGCTTCAGGAAAAATCACAGCTGTAGTACTGCGGTACTAAAGATCAGTGATGATATTCGATCCAACATGGATGAAAATAAATTCACCTTGCTTTGCCTACTTGACTTTTCAAAAGCATTTGATATGGTCAACCATGAGTTATTAAGCTGTAAGTTGAAAGCGTACTTTGGTTTTAGTTGTAGTGCTTTAAAACTTGTGAAAAGCTACCTTGTTGACAGGTTTCAATTTGTAAAAATTGGGGAGGACACATCGCAACTCAAGCCAGTTACTTCAGGGGTGCCTCAAGGCTCCATCCTTGGTCCTCTGCTTTTCAGCATATTTATTAATGACATCTTCAGTGTGTGCAAATTTTCAAACCTGCATGGTTATGCTGATGACATTCAGTTATATTTATCTGCACCTTTTGATCAAGCTAAAGAGTTATGTAAAAGCATCAATACTGACTTGGCTGATATCTCTTGCTGGGCGGCTGCCAGCGGTCTAATTTTAAATAAAAACAAGTGCTTTGTGCTGCCAATCAGTGCTAGAAAACTGACAAATCTGGATTTTTTGCCCCCAATATTCATAGACAATTATCCCTTAAAATTAGTCAGCAAGATTAAAAACTTAGGATACATTATTAACTCTAATCTTACATGCACGGATCATGTAAACTCCATAGTTAGTAAGGTCTATCTCATTCTGAGGAATCTTAGGCAGTCAGCTATCTATACACCCACTGCTACCAGACGCCGACTTGCTATACAAATTATTCTTCCGGTCATCATGTACTCTGAAGTCGTATACAGCAAACATGACAGTTTTTCTGCTCGTAAAATTGACGTTATGTTTAATAATGTCACACGGTACGTGTTTGGTCTTTCCAAATATGAGCACATTTCGTCTTGGAAAGATCAGATATTAGGATGTACGATTGCGGACTATCATAAAGCCAGAAATTGTATTTTTCTTTGCAAGCTCATCATGACTCAATCACCTAGTTATCTTTTTTCCAAGTTATCGTTTACTCGGTCAGCCAGAGTAGGTAATATAATAATACCTTTTCATAGATCACAGCAATCATCAAGGCTGTTCTTTGTCAATGCTAGTCGATTATGGAACTCTCTTCCTGCTAATTTAAGGAGGAAATTAAACAGAAGCAATTTCAAGAACCACATATATATGCATTTTAAAGGCCAAATTTCAAACATAGACTGACCATTCAATAATTGTTTAAGTTTTTGTCATACTCAACTCATTATATATTATACTTATTTTTATTTTTATTATTATTTTTGTTAAGGTATCTGTAAAGTAATTTACTTATTCTTCACACTATCTCTGTTGTACTAAAAAAGATATGGAAATCTTATTGTACTAATGCTTTGTTATTATTATTAAATAAATAAAATATTATTTATGTATATACATATACATATACATATATAACTGTAAATATATATTTATATAAATGGCGATTTGTAGCCGTTGAACCGATTTTCGGAGGGACCTAGAGTTCATTTATTGTGAGGAGCCATTGTTTCATGTCAGAAATACAACACTGCTAAGGAGCAACTGCAATTAGAAAAATTAACTGAATTTTTTCATTAAAATTAATATTCTATAACTATTTACAGTTATGGAAATATAGCAGCATTCGTGATTTTCAGACTAATCTTGTGTCCAACCGTTTTATAACAAAACAAAGGGCAAGAATAGATTCGTGTGGATGGCCTGCACATTTGTTTTTTCACACTCATGGCTAAATTTTACCAAGAAGACTGCCAACTTTTTGTTTACTACCTAAAATAATCGATAAAATTGTTGAGGTGGGTTAGGAAATTGTTACGTGTGAAACGAGCCTACCCATACAAACTTATTTATGTAGATATACATATATGTGCATAAGTCTTACTTACATATGTATTTATGCTTATATATTTGTAACATGAGGGTATAAGAATTGAAGAGAGGCGAGCAATTCTGCTTGCGTTGGAAGCGGCTCAGCGGCGAGTTCCAACAAAAGTACGATTGCCAGACGTACACGTATGTACATATGAATGTGTATAATTAAGTACAAAAAATGCTACATATAGACATATACAGTTTCGTATGCAGCAGAGAAAAAGTGCGAGTAGGTGTGTGACTATTAAAATACAACGGCAAGGCAAGTCTTAGTTTCACAGCGGAAATTACGATATCTCAAACTACAATTTTGTATGTATTTTTTCCGAATGTTTTGTTTTATGTTTTTTCGTTTTATATGTACGTAAACACGTATGGAATTGTTGCTGGTTATTTGGTCGGCCGACTGTCTGATTGCCGGGATTGTATGTCTGCTTCTATATTTCTCTATTGGGTTAGTTGGTTGATTGGTACGGTGATTCGTCGGTCAGTGGTTGGCAAATTTAGAGGTTTCGTCACATTTTCCTGCTTAGCTGGAAAATTTTTAATTTACTTCTTTATTTATTTTCTCATTCATGCTTAAGTCATGGTGTCGACTAAGTACAGTGTTGGAAATGCAGAAAAACTTTAGGCTTAACTATTATTATGCGACATAATGCCGAAACGGTTGTAACAGACGATATATAATATAATGTAATAGACGCTACATATAAAAACGAAATGAAGTAACGGAATAAATTTTGAAATATATTATAGAGAGACGAGTCTAAATATGCTGATATTATTATTATTATGGTTTTTATAATTAATTAATTTAATTTTAATTTTGAAAACCATCTCATGTAAAGTTGAACCAATAAAAAGTATGCATCTTATTTACATATGTGTATTATTTTCACTATTACTATTATTTATATTTGTACTGCCTTGACAATTAGTATTTTCATTATTATTGTCGTTGGTATTATTAAATTGACGATCTCAATAGCAGAGCAGTTAGTATCGCGTACTGCCATTCGGAAAGCCAGTATTCGAGCCCTGAATGAAAATAAATTTTTCTAATTGCGGTCGTCGTTCGCCTGGGAATAAGAAGCTCCCCGAGTGTATTTCCTGACATGAAGACTCGGAAAACATATGCATGTACATATGTTTTTAAAATTACAAGCCATTGGTAAGTAAATCACTACCAATATGATAAATATATTAATAATAACATTATATTACTTCTTGATAAACACGAGTTTCTATCAATGAAATGAATGCTTTTTTAATTTTTCTATAAGGAGGGACTTTATGCTAATACACTTACAGTATCGCTTCATTAGATTTTTCTTGTAAGCGGATCGTTGTTCTGCCTTTAGTTGGGCATGTTCCCCTTCCGTCACCCCAGAGCCTGAGTCTTCCGAATCCGTTTCTGAGTAGGAATGATCCCGATTACGAAGCATTTTCGCATTCACTGATAGATCTAATGGGCCATCTGTATCCTCTTCTTCTTCATCTTCACTATTATAGTTCTCCATGGAGGCTATGCCATCTTCTTCGACCGCGATATTCTCCTCCTCATCATCATCTTGTGAAATATCAACTGCACTGTTCTTCTCTCGTTCTAAATTGTGCCGACATTCGGGTGTGGTACATTCACGAGCGTTCGATGGTTCGCTGACATTTTGATTTTTACTTGTAATAACGGTACGTCTCACCTGCTGACCCAATTCGCCAAAAGTCTCACGCTCCTTGTCAATATCACTACTTACACCCGAATATTTATGTTGCCGCAAATGATTGTAAAGTACCGTGAACTTTTCAGGACAATTGAATATTCGACTCTTATTATCGGCAGTCGAGTCGGCGGTAGCTGTTGGTGGTGATGTTTTCGGACTGGATGCCGGTGAAACATTACTGTCGTTATTATCGTTAGTCACAGCTGATGCCAATTTTGGCAGAGGGCATTCTCGAGGTTGCATTGTGGACTTGTGTGATTCTATGGCACGAATTAATATCTCATTCTCGCTGCTGTTGCTGGATGATTGCCAATTCTCATTTCTAATTTCCTTTTCCTCCTTTGTGGCTTTAATATAACAATTCAACGATTTATCATCATTCGAAATATTCCTTGTACTGGTGCTTGTGGTTATGATGGTGGGCGAAGCCAATGGGGATACACTTTGCTGCGAAAAAGCCACGGGCGAGGGTGATCGTGCTGGCGATGACATTGCATTCGATTCTAGGGATGCCGAACACGAGAGGGATGACACGGAGGATACATTGTGCGCGGACGGTGGTGACGGTGGTATAGGCGAAGACGAACCTGCAGAGGACAACGCTGCCTGGTTGACAAGCGTATGGCCTGCATTGGCTGTGACCAGGTGTTGCACCATAATCATTATGAAGATTGTAGCTAAGTGCCACTACCGGTGAATTTCAATCGGTGTATCCCGCCACAATTATGCTTACTTTAATGGCCAAATAGTTACAATTTTTCTTTATTTAATACAGTCTCTGTTATGAAATTTCTCAACGGTCACATCTAATAAGATTTTGTGAACAGCTTCGTAAAACAGATATTGCGTTACCATAAAATTGTTGGTGAGCTTATTTATAAAGTCTATTGATTAATCCTTGCAATTATATTCTAAGCTCCATAAATCCAGAGTACTATGTGTTTCACACACAACGTTTACGTAATTGAATTAAAAGATTCTTATGGTAAGGTATTTTTTTAATGAATTGCTGATACTTAAGTCTATAAAGTGACTAACAATTTCTCTAGAAAGATATTTATAATTTTTAACACTTTCACAAAAATTTTGGATATGAATTGCAATTGAACAAAAGTTGATTATTATTTTGGTTTAAGATTTGTGCAGCCACCATTAACTTTTTGTCGCTGTTATTATTTATTTCAAACTTTTGTACCTGAGCTTCGTCAATATTTAAAATTTTTGAGGTAATTTGTTTTTTTTTTGTACATTTGGATAGGACGTTTGATATTTAAATTTAATTTTTGTTTACTTTCGAAACTATGTGCAGCGCCGAAATATGTCTTTTTTTTAGGATAAAAGATACATGCATACATACATATGTATAAAGTGATGTGATATTCCTCGAACAAAACTGTCACATTTTAAAACTTAATTTCTACATAACTGATTAAAGAGTTATTTATCCTTTCACTCCATTGTGATTATTTATTGTGGTTTTTCTGTTTGAATTGCACGCCACTAGTCACTGTTCCTGTTAGTTATTTTACGACACATATTGTACATAGGTGCATTGAATATAAGTGTATGTGTATATGTATGTCAAAAAAATCTACTAAATTGCACAGCCAAACACAAAAAAAAAAAACACATTTGCGGATATTCGAAATTTACACTTTGAAATCATTTAAATCATTCGAATACATTCAATTTTAAGTGTCATATATCGTTTCACAGTTTATGTCGGTCTTTAACCACACCTGCATGGCATGAGAATATTTTGTTAGTTTGATTTTAGTTTAAGTGCATACGGGCATTCATAAAATCTATTTCTGACAAACGGTCACGATTTTCTAACATTTCATTTCATGTATATGCAGTATTCATCTCCGTACGTTTTTCCATATGAATGTATAAGTTTAATTGGCTATCGCAAATTGCAAATCGCTTAAGTTTGTTTGCTGGCAAGTTTGTTGAGATACCATCCGCGTATTGCAATATTTCTGTTTTTATTAGGTCGAACGCAAACGTCGGTTATCTCTTACGGTATCAGCGAAACTGAAATTGTAGTTTAAACTCTAAGTCGATTACAGTCGAAGTAACAAAACGCTCTACCTAGCGCCTAGCGAGCATCAAGCAAGCAACTGCTTCGATTCACCGACGACGACAACGAAAACAGCAACAGAAAAGCAGCAATGGCAACAGACCAGAGGAAACCACACATCGCATATATACAGTTGCACACGCAACACATTCGCAAATCAGACAACTCAATTCAACAACAACAACAACCCTATGATGGAGATGATGACGACTACTACGTCAACCACGGCGCCGACGTTTGCGGCGAAGCTTTCCGATTTGCGCGAATCTTAAGCATGAACAAGTACACATTCATAAACACATTCACAATACAGAAAATATATACTCATATTTGACACTCACACTGCAAAGTCTAGACATTCTCGTCGGATCACCGCTCCACAAGTCTCGTATGCCTGTATGCATTTTCGTAACAGCATGGATGAGCGCACCGTGAGAGCCGTGCCGAGTTTGTCATTTTCATAGAAAACCCCATTCAGAAGCCCCAAACATTCACTACCGTCAAAACGATGCAACTTGAACATACATATGTACATATGTACCTACGTACCTTTGAATAGATATGTACGCACAAGTATTTACATATATGCATGTTTTATATATATATTTTAATATTTTGTATAAGAGTAAACAAATTAAAGTACAATAGTCTAAACTCGATAAATTGTTATTAAAAAGCTCTCTTCGCATATGTATATATAAAACCAAAATGTTGAACTACAATATTAATTCAAATTTTCGATTTAAATCTAATCAGAACAACAACGGGGGTCTCAACGTGGCGTTAAATCAATGTAAAGAATAATACCTCATGCTTGAATATTGAAAAATACATGTTACAGAACTTATGCTTATAAAAATTATTTAATTTATTAATATAAAATCATATTTAGACAAATCTAAAATTTTTCTTTTTTATTTGTTTTATGGCTGCATCAATTTTTTTTCTACACGAATCTGAAATGGAATGATGTTTTATACAAATGTGCTAAATTTTCACCTGACTAAATTAGTTAATTGCACCACTGTCCGACAGTCCAGCTAATGTAAAACACTTGGAGCAGTTGCTAAATTTGAATATGAAAGTAAAAATTTCCTATGAGAGCGTAAAATATACACACAATGCCAATGTTTTGAACGGGAGAGCTGACAATGTAATCGAAAATCGACGAGAGAAAATTGCGAAACGACTGGTTGGGCAGGGGGAACACATCCGCTAAACATTTGAGTACAAGTGTAAAATTCGTGTTGTTGATTGGCGCTCTTATGGATGTCGGCTGCTACTTGTTTTTTTTTTTTTTTGTATTTCAGACTATAAATTTACTTATGTCTGACGTCGTCCGTCGTCGCTGCTAATCGATGGCAAACGCTCCCTCAGTATGGCAAGCGAACCACTCAAATATAAAATAAAAAATAGAAACAATAACAACAAAATGTTAACAACAATAACGAAATCGCAAGCGCAAAGCGTTAAGCGACAGTGGCATTAAGCGACCCAGACCCACTGCGCTGATGCGACTTTTCGCGAATTGGGTTTTATATGCATATTCATACTCGGCTAAGCAGACAAGCACATTTTAATACATAAATCTATATGTTTAAGTAAGTATGTATGTATATACATATATATATATGTATATATATAGAAATTTAGGTGTAATTTGTATTTATGCGATTTTCTATTTGAGTATATACTAATGTTTATATAAATAATACTCGTTCTTGGACGGATGAGTAAAGAGAGAGAATCGGAACTAGCAACAACAGGTCCATTTCAAGGTGCAGACCGTAGTTTACATTTGTGAACTAGGAATTATTTACTTCACAGCCAAAGGAAGTCAATAGTTACAATTGGGAGCATTGCTCTGTGTAAGTTTTAGAGGGTGTTGTGATGCAAATAAAGACATTGTATATATGTATGTACATGGGTATGCACATGTTATTTTCTTAAGACTGATTGATGTGCAGAGGTGAAAGACGTTTTATTTAACAATTTTAATTTAATTTTCATCAACTTTCATTGAAAACTACATAGTCTTTCAAAAGTTTGTTTTTTAATTTATTAAATAGATACAATTCGAAAAAGTATTCTAACTGTGGCTCAAAATTAAAATAACCAAGAGGAGAGGAAATACATGTGTATATCCTTTAAAATAGATAGTGATTAGATAATGACGAACAGCTGAAATGAACAGTATGCATGAATGTGAACATTGGTAAGTATATTCAGATCGTACTACTATTCCAAATAACACTCATACATACCTTCATCGGATTTATTTTTCATAAACATATTTATGTACATATGTGATTTATTTGGCATAAAAAACAAACCCCTTATGAACCACAAATATCTGAATGTTCAGAAACGAGATTTTGCATTACGGAACCTCTAGAAGAATAGTTTCAAATTAATATAAAGTTAGGCTCGATTCATAAAACGAGGAATATCACTTATATCTTGTTTTTGTTTGCTTTTTTTTTGACAGATCACGCTTGAGTCGTGTCAAGTTGTCATGTTATTTTTGTTCAGTATTTTTTTCTTCAAAAATTCTGGCGGTGAGAACGTAACCGTCAATGACGACCATTATCTCGTTATAATAACCGACTATTTGATGTCTTAAATTGAGTCTCGTGATATCGGCGGCATTTGAACAAGACGACGCCACTTACCGTACATCGCATCAATCAATGCGGTGAACAGATGATTTCACGTTTTTGGCTGGTCGATTGGCCAGCAAGATCATAAGATGTAACACCGCTAGACATTTTCCTGTGGGAAATGTAAATTCTCAAGCCTATGCGGACAATCCTACTTCAATTCAGGTCTGGGAGCAAAACTTCACGCGTATCATTCGCCAGTTAAAAGTCGAAATGCTGGAACGAGTCATTGAAAATTGGACTAAACTAATGATGGACTTACTGAGACGTGGCCGCGGCCAACATTTGAAAGGAATACACTTCAATAAATATGTGCCAAAGAATGCTTTTTCGAAAGATAATAGGTATTCCTCATTAAATTTGATTTTTTTTTAAGTAGAGAACCTCGAAAAGCATCAGCCCTTATAATGGTTTAAAGAGATGAACACCGGAAATCAGGTTTTAGTACAGCTAATATCTTCAAAATAATTTCAATTGATGAATATTTATGTGTTTTGAGCACCCTGTAATGTCATTCTGTTTGCAAATCAATCTATTCAATAAATTTATTGAGAATTAAAGGTGTAGTTATGACGACATGTAGATGGAACAAGTATTCTCAGCCTCTCGTGAATAATATATCAACCATACTGTATATACGTATCCCCTCAAATGTGCCTTGAAATACAACCATTTTTTACAGGTATAAAAATAACCAGTTTGAACAGTGATTTTAAAAATACAGCATACGACGTTTTTTGAACACCCTATACTCGTATATACATACATGTACAAATATACATATGTATGAATGTACATTTATTTACGACGACGCCCTAACGACGATGCTATTACATCGAATGTGCCAGAACTCAACGAAAACAGAAACGTTAGCTGCGCGGGAAATTTTCACTTTCCGTTCACGAGTGGCCCATCTCACGAACGGAGATTAGTTCGTTTTTCAAGCAGCATTCGTTACTTTTCCTTGCTCAACTTTAAGTCCAGTCTTATATATGTACATACATACACACACAAAACATCATTAACGTATGTATATAAAGATATATGCAATGTGCATTTACAGCTTGGCTGCACTGAATACTTTTGCAAATGGTAGGGAGCTTTCAGTTTATTGGTGTAGGGAAAAGTCGGGCAATACATATGTACATATATACATATGTGTGTAAGTAATACATATATAAAAAGAGAACCAAGCCGAGAAGAGGAAGATGGCGCTTGACTAGTTTAATTTCGATTGTAGTGGTTGAATGTGACCAGACTTAAACAAATTCTAATTGAAGTTTAAGGCAAGAGGAAGCCAGAGTGGCAATTCGGCGAGGGACCAACCGATGATACTTTTACCTATTATTGTGCGACAAACATAAAAATTTTCACGCAATTATTACTTCCTTCACACGCAGAAATTAAAATTGGAGCGTTTAAGCTTTGAAATTGCTGTCAAATAACTTGACTATTGTTAAAGGAGGGTGTTGATAAATTATAGTGAAATAAGCTAATTTCCAGAAATATAAATGTTTGATGGAGTTAATGTCGTATCATTGCAGTTTTCTCAAGATCTGGTTACTAAGTACTAAATTACATTATAAGTTCTAATACCATTTGATACTCATGAAATGTATAATAAACGTATTGAATGTTAGTTGATCATTCAGGTCTGATTGGTTCTTTGATAACGGTTGTATTTTAACATACAAAATATTCCTAGATTTAGTTATAGTTCGGTTTCGCTTACGAGTATTATCATAAACACTTACAAAGAGTCTGAGAAATACATAGCCGGTGTTGTTGGGATGGAGTAAGGCTTTTGTGAAGTGCGATCGATAAGTTTTATGAAAAAAAAACAACATTGTGTGTAGGGAGGCTGCGTCTTTTTTAGTTTACTGTTACAAATATCTAATAATATTGACCTTTAGAATACCGTATATCCGAAGTCACCTAGCATTACAGAAAACGCGGTTTAAAGAGAAGTTGAAAACTAAATTTTAATTTTTCTTATATGTGTAGATAATTTCCACGTACGTGTAAGTTAATTTAATTTACCATAACAAAGTTTGCGGATCTCTATACCTCCATGACTTATCCTGCATTAGCTCTTCTCAACTCCACCTGAATCTTTTAGAAAAACTAAAGAATGTCTTCTTGCTAATTTATGTACATATCGCGTATAATAAAATGTCTGTTTGTATTGTTGTTCATATTGCATTAACTCGGTATCAAGATATGTTGATATTACTAATATATATATATATAGATACATATGTACAGATTTGCGTGGATGTCAGTGAACAGACGACAGACATCTACTACTCGCTCTCCAATTCCTTTCCGGTTGAACGTTTTAGCAGTTTTATTGACTTAACCGCGCTCAACTTCTCACGAATGTATGTTTGTATGTATGTATGTACAATATGTACTAAAAATACTTATATATATATAAGTATATATGTATATCTATATAAATATATATGTGTATATGGATGTATACACATATCCATATATACCAAAGCTATGTGTATTTGTACAAGTATCGACAATGCTTTTGGAATTGTATTTTGGGTGTTTAGATTTGAGTACAAATTATTTAAGTGAGTCATGAACGAGACAATATCCAGCAGTGAATGACCTGTTACGATATAGCACACGCGTAGTTCTCTTTCTATCAAAATAAAAGTACTTACACGTATTGATATCAACAAAAGTTATAAGAGGAAAACTTACATCTCATTTAAGGTAATAAAATCCAAGATAGCGAACAGCTAAGTCAGCAAAAGGACTTCGATTTTCCCCTTTTATATATTTAAATTATATAATTATACATATTGAAACCATAATTTTTAAATGCTGATAATGAAGGTTTTCTTAAATGCAG